CCTGCCGCCGCGCGGGGCCGCCTTCCCGGAGCGCACCCCGGGCCGCCGCGCCCGCCTCCACCTGCGCGGCCAGGAGCTTCCTACCGGGGGGTGACGGCGCAGGCAGGGCAGGAGGGAACGGCCTGAGCCCCCAGCAGGGATGAGGCGGCGAGCCAGGCTGAAATGAGAGGCTGGGAGCTGGCACCCGAGGCCCCAGCAGGGCTCAAGGGCCAGCACTTAGCAGGAGCCAGCTGTAGACGGCAGAGGTGGGAGCTGGTGACCAGGCCCATTCCCACACGCTGCCCCTCTGGTTGCGCGGTGGGATCCGACTCCGCAGCCGGGGCCTCCATGAAGAATGCGGCTGCTTCCACTCTGCTGCTCAGCCTGAGGAGCACAACCAGAGCCTAGCTCCAGCTCCTGCCTGCAAGCCAGGTTCAAGTTGACCCTGACGGCCTGTGTGTCCCTTTTTAAAACTTTTCCATGAAAAATCGAGTGTAAGTCAAATCTGCAGTTTTCCAAACCAATCCATAAGTAAGGGCTTTTTAAAAAAGGGAGGAAGGGCTGGAAATAAACCACAACAGATTTTAACTTCAGTTAGTAAAATCTGAGTGGACTGGACCAAGTAGTATGGACTAGAGGCAGTTTCCACTCCTTTGTTTTGTTTAACAGTGTTCTGGATAGTTGGAGGCCCAGATCTACTACAGACCCGGTACTGCCACCGCCACCTCCTCCCTCGTGAAAACTATCAAAAACCACCATAGTTATGCTCAACATGCAGGTTACTGGCTGACAAGTGAGGAGCTCATGCATGTGAAGTCCGATTCTGAATCCAACTCCCGCCTGGGAATAAGGCAACCCAAGTTGGCTGACAATTTGTTTAAAATAAAACTTTTTTTTCTGTGGTTTTATATTGAGTTACTTTATACACAATTGGTCATTTTCATATGATATCCACTTCTGGGACACTGATCAAGTCCTGGTGTGCTGACATATTGGCATGTTGTTACATAAACAGCCAATTGCATTGTCCTTATGTAGTAGCATACTGGACAAGTGGGCTCATGCCTGCATAACACTGGCCACAATGCCTAGATTCAATAAGGAATTCAAGTGCGGGCAGAGGAGCTGGCTGGGAAGTCACTTATACTCCAGAATCAGGGGAAGGCACCAGTCCCCTACAGGAGGAAATGGTTCAGTAGCTCTACGACACTGTCCTATCTTTAAAATTTGCATGGAGTCAGGTACTGGACAAGCAGAGTGTACCTGTCTGTGCCTCTCTCTTAGTTACTCCTGTCTACAACTTTGAGGCCTCCTCAGCTCTACTGTTTTGTAACACTCAGCTCCCCGTTCCCCCTGCCAGCTATCCCCCTCAGGACTGAAAGCATAGAAAGTAAGCACTGCTTTTCACCAGTGGGATCCATACTATGCTTTTTCTCTTAAGCATTCACTTCAGAAACCGACGGCTCAGCTGCAGTGTGTCAGTGACACTCACCATTATCTCTTCTGTGATGCAAGAGCCATCACTGCTGAAGTGATAGTCAGGGAAACAGCTGGCTCAAACTCAATCCAGGCAAGGTGGAAGTTACCGTGGTTGGAAGGAGAGGGTACTCTACATTTAGACCTGGCCAAAATGATGTTGTTTTACCCCCATCCCATAAACACATTAAGACATGCATTCACCAAGTGGTTTGTATTTTTAGATTCTTGCCTGACTAGTCACTTTCCTTAAATGACTACACAGCAGTCTCAAAGTGACCTTTCACCTCCGGTTTGCTAGCAACCTTGTCTCCTTCTTCCCAGATGAGAACCTGACTACAGAGAAGTGTCGCCTCCAGCTGAGACTGCTGAATTTGCTGTGTCTACAGCTGTATGTTTAAGTACCAGTACCAGTGTAGCTCCTAGACTTCTCAGTGATTTCAGCCACTTGAAGCATAAAATCATCTGCAGATACCATGTTGCTGACTTTTTTCAGTGCCACTATACATGGCCTTCATCCTAATCTCTAGGACTATGATTTGATTGACTACAAACCCAAAGTGTTGGTTTAGGAGAAATTAAATGATTTCTGGTCTTGAACACCCTTAGGAAATGCTGCAAAATCTTCCTCTAATAAATCTTTTTCATCGTTTAGAAATATAATTATAACAACACATGGACAGACACAACCAATGTATTTTATCATTTATTCATTTGTTTCAGCTTTGACATGTTTTTTTTCTAAGAACTTTTGAGGATTTTCATCACATTTGAAACATCATTAGTTAGAAACAGGTTCCCAAGGATTAGAGCATATTTATAAATCCCTCTCTAAAGCTTAGACCCAAGCCAATAAGCTTAGCACTATGCTCTAAAATTAAAAATGAATCATCAGGTTTTGACCTGGGAAAAAGAGTTCAAAGTACAAGTTTGTTGGAATGAAGGAACATAGCTAGCAGTTTGAAATTTGTTTACATGCTGGCCAATACATTTATCCCTAACTTCCCCAAATCCCCCACCCTCCCATCACCTTTAAAGTTAAACAAGCATATTCATTATGATTACAAACAGTAGGCACCGCTATAGTGGATATACTGTATAACTCTACTGGTATGAATGGAGCTTCTTGATTAAGCTAAAACCACTGGCAATGCGTCAAAAGAAATACTGCTCAAGTTAATTAAAATTTGTAGGCCTTGTCAAAGATAGCACATACTTGCCTACCCCTATGGCAAAGAAGCATCAATGACTTATGTGTACTAGAAATATCAGTTCACAAACACTATATAGTAGAACCTAAGCCTCAGTTTGGTTTATCTGGCTTTTTTTAAAAAAAAAAAAAAAGAAGTGTTTGCTTTACTTACAATATAGACAGCAATGAAAATTTGAGGTCATTGCAAAAGAGAGGGAAATTGAGGTCTAAAGTGAGCAACAGGTGACAGGCACAGGGCAAAGTAATAAATACTATTTTTTCATGGCAGCACTCATGTATTATGTGTACAGTTGCAGAATGTGGCCCTCATTTTTCAGGAGAGCTCCCTCCCCAAACAAAACAAAACAAAACAGAACAAAACAAAACAACCCAATAATGTACTACCAGCAACTTTGTTTTTCCCTGTTATAGCTTGGAAATGATAAAAGTATTTTTAAAATACTTTACTGCTAGCTATCCCCCACACACTGTATATTCTATGAGCTCAGTATGCAATGCAGTCAATGCCAGGCTCCACCTAAGGACCTCATTTGACAAGTTCATATAGCTGGTAGAACCCAGCCACAATGTTGAACCCTATTAATTATAGTGGAGTTTATATAGTTCACCTGGTAGGGTTCATGCCTCAAGTTTTTGTACGTTTCTTGATCAGTTTATGATTCTGAGGAGGTGCTCAGAGTAACTCAAGGAGCGGATCCTCCACACCTCATACTGCTCTGGCACCTGAGGATAGTGATGTGCACATTAGAAGTCTGGATACTATTTAAATCCAGCTGTTTGAGGCCATTTAAGTTTGAAACCCTTAACTCAATTGTCTGGGAAGCAGCAACTCCATTACAGCATAGTAAATTATATATAGTATCTTGGGATATTACTTTAACAGAAAAAGAAACAAAGCTACAGCACTACCAAGAATCATAACAGGAGTAAGCATGAGTCGTACTTTAATAAAAGCTAGAAACAGATTTTACATTTAGTATAACACACAAGTCTTGACAGCTTTACCACACCATTTCAGAGTATGTGAAATGCATGCAGTTAACTATGCTAACTGTAACCATTGTTCAAGCCATTGGACATCTCTTCCAAATAATATGACACTGGCATTCTGTCTTTCAACATAATACTACTAATCATTAGTAGTGTAACCCCCTAGCAAACTGTGTCACATTGCCCTCTAGTGGTAATTAGGGCTGTTAGAAAAGTTCTGCTATTACTGTTCCAGTTCATACAGAAGAGGTCTGTTTTCAAGATGTTAAGGTCAGAGGCTCAAACCCTGCTGACAACTCACATGAAGAAAATAAATGCCATTTGATTAAGTGAAGTGTTTCATAATGCATATACAGGAGGTGGCAAAAATGGCTGGGTAGAAAATGCTATAATGAAGATGACCTACTTGCCTAATCTACAACTACAACCTTTTAACAGAGTCTATGCTCCGACATCACAAACTCCCTATCAAAGGCACCGAGAACATTGTAGGTGAGAAAATGACTCGCATTATTGACCTTAAACAGGACCTATCTAATCTGAATTGTGACATGCTGGAAAGAAGTCTGTATTATACTTACCATGCTACTACACTAATATGCAGAAGTTGTGTTTATTTAGTTTCTAATATTCTAACTGGTATAATTTCCAAGCAAACTACAGTCATTATCCTACTGGTAACGAATTGCTCTATTTTGTTTTATTTACAGCTGTTTAATCCCACTGAAAAAAGCAACTGTACCCAAAATCTTTTGGACGTAGTCCCTTCCTTTTATTGTTTGTAAAGAGAAACACCCAACATAATATACAGCATACTGGACAAA